GTTGAAGTTGTCCACCGAGAGCGAGTAGAGGCGGCAGTAGGTGTCGGCTCGGACACTGGCCGTGCGCCGGCCACGGGTCAGCAGGCAGATCTCTGCAAGAGAGAGAGGGGCTGAGAGCCCAGCAGGGACCCCCCAGGACTCCCTGTGCCCCTCCCAGCAGGCAGAGGTCTGCAGAGAGAGAGGGGATGAGAGCAGGGCAGAGCACTAAAGACAGTGCCATTGATGCCTCAGGATTTCAGCTTCTCTATTTTCCTGTCTCTGTAACCCTGTGATTCTTCAGTGGGTAACTCCAGACTCCACAGACAGTTCCCAGCTCCTGCTCTCCCATTTTTACACAAAACAATTCCTCTGCAGCCCCAAACTCAAGGACACCTCCCTGGGCCAGGCCCCAAAAGATGGAAACAACAGAGAATTGGGGGGAGCCAAGTTGGAGTGAATGACTGCATTGGCAGCAGCTGCAATTGGAGGATTCAGCCCTGATGTGCAAATGGACAAAAGTGAGAAAGGGTGAAAAACCCGTGAGCCATTGTCCATTGTGGGTGCAGTCCCTGGGTGGGCTGGGACTGCCCTGGATGGCCCTAAAGGCTCTGCAATAACAGAACTGCTTTGGATTCTCTGAACTTTGTCCAGCTCTGGTTTAGGGAGCCAGATTTAGGCATCACGGTGCCTGTCCTGCCCTGCCGGCCTCGGGCTCCCCGTGGGCTCGGGTAGCAGAGGGGCCTCTGTGCCCTCCGCACAGCGATGCCCTAAATCCTTCCCCGCCTCCAGCCTGCCCCACCGCTCCGGAGCTCCGCTGCCCTCCAGGGCGGGGCAGAGCAGGGACTGTTTCACCCTCCCCGTTTATGCAGCCCCTCCCGTGGCAGATGCCGGGCAGCAGGAGTGGGAATGCGCCTGGACAACCGGGAACGGCCCATTTTCACCTTTAGGCTCTCAGCTTCAGCGAGCTGCCAGACAGAAATGAACCTGCAAGGACCGAATTTCCCTGCTGTGTCCTGTCGCTATTTGTGACCCGCCAGGCACCTCCCACCGCACAGCTCCGGGGGTGGAGGTGSCGGGGGTCAGCCCCAGCAGACCCAGCCCGATTTGGGGAACACCTGAGCTTGGCAGTGCCGCGGCTGCGGGAGGGTGGGCGAGCAGCACGCACCTCCGAAGTAGGAGCCGTCGGCCAGCTTGGTCTCCTTGTTGCCCTTGGTGAGCACGCTGACCACGCCGTGCTGGATGAARTACATCTTCTTGCCGATGGTGCCCTCGCGGATGATGTAGTCGCCGGGCTGGAAAACCTCGAACTTCAGCTTGGTCAGCATGGACGTCACGAAGTTGGGGTCGGCGTTGGCGAACAGCGGCAT